TTATATATTTATTCTATGCTTTAATGAAAGAGAATGCCTTATGTATGAAAATCAATAATAATCCATTAGTAAGTTAGTTTAGAAAAATCGGATTATCTAATTTTGTTTTTCGGTTAATGTTTTTTTTGTCAACTGATTTCCTTCTTAAAAATTATTTGGTCAGTTTTATAATAATGTGAATGTATAATATTTAGAAACTCAACTTGTAGCTCTTCCAGAGTTACTACCGGTCCCAAGCCCCGGTAATGGAGGAGGGTTTGCCATGGGGTTAGCGACCCCATCCCGTAGAAAACTAACTCGCTAAAAAAACGCTAACCAGAAAAAATTATTCAAACCTTTTAAACTCTACCCTGAGAGTCAGGTCTTCATTTAGAAGAGTTATGACGCCTCATGATGAAAGTCAAATTCCTTCGGAAGTTACGAGGCCGATTCCCCTTCTGACAACCAGACCAACCATTTATTTAGGTACATGGAATGTTCGTAAAATGTGGGAGACTGGGAGAATCTTTCGAATTGCTGCAGAAATGAGGAGATATAACCTAGAGGTGCTTGTGATCAGTAAAACACATTAAACGCAAGTTGGACAACAACGATTAGCTTCAGGAGAGATGCTGCTATACTCCGGCTATGATGAATAAAATGCTCCACATACACAAGAAGTTGCATTGATGCTGTCCAAACAAGCACAAAAGACACTTATAGGATGGGAATCTCATGGACCAAGGATCATCAAAGCCTGCTTCAAAACAAAGAAAGAGAGTATTTCAATGAACATCATCCAATGCTATGCGCCTACTAACGACTACAATGAAGACTCCAAAGATCAATTCTACGATAGGCTGCAGTCAATCATCGAGAAGTCCCCAAGAAAGGACCTTATGATTCTGGTGGGAGATTTAAATACCAAGGTTGGAACGGACAACACTGGATATGAAGACATCATGGGACGACACGGACTGGGAGAAAGAAACGAAAATGGTGAGAGATTCGCAAACCTATGTGCCTTCAATAAACTGGTCATAGGCGGCACTATATTCACACATAAATGCATTCACAAAATCACATGGACTTCACCGGATCACACCACGCAAAACCAAATCGACCATATCTTCATCAACAAAACGTTCAGGAGGACGATGGAGGATGTGAGGACCAAGAGAGGAGCTGATATAGCCTCAGATCATCACTTGCTGGTTGCCAAGATGAAGTTGAAACTTAAGAAGCACCGGACAACGGGGCGGACAACAGCACAAAAGTTTAATAGGGCTTCTCTTCGAGATACTGACAAACTCAACAAATTCAAGATAGCCCTCAGCAATAAGTTCCAGGCCTTTCATGATCTACTCAATGGAGAGTTGCTGGATAGGGATAAAAGAGGCAATCACTTCAACATGTCATGAGGTTCTGGGTCACAAGAAACAACATCACAAGGGATGGATAACTGTTGATACACTGGATTCAAGAAAGAAGGCAGCATTCAAAACCAGCCGAACAAGAGTAGAAAAAGCCAAGGCACAAGCTGAATACACAGAAGCAAACAAGCAAATGAAGAGGAGCATTAGAACTGGCAAACGTAAATATGTAGAAGATTTAGCAATGACGGCAGAAAAGGCTGCAAGAGAAGGAAACATGAAACAGCTGTATGACACAACAAAGAGACTATCTGGAAATCATCGTAAACCAGAACGACCAGTGAAAAGCAAGGAAGGCAAGGTAATCACCAACATTGATGAACAACGAAACAGGTGGTAGAACACCTCAAAGAACTCTTGAATCAACCAGCCCCCCAGCAGATGTAGCGGCAACTGCAAGGATACTCCACATTCTCTTCAATAAGATTTGGGATGAGGAACAAGTACCAACAGATTGGAAAGAAGGAATTCTGGTCAACATACCAAAGAAAGGCGATCTCAGTAAGTGTGATAACTACAGGGGCATCACTCTTCTCTCAATACCGGGAAAAGTCTTCAACAGGGTATTGTTAAACAGAATGAAGGACTGCGTAGACTCCCAACTTCGAGACTAACAGGCAGGATTCCGTAAGGATCGACCATGTACACACCAAATCGCAACTCTATGGATCATTGTGGAACAATTAATTGAATGGAATTCATCACTCTACATCAACTTCATTGACTACGAAAAAGCATTTGATAGCGTGGACAGAACAACACTATGGAAGCTTCTTCGACACTACAGAGTGCCTCAGAAGATAGTCAATATCATACGGTATTCCTATGATGAATTAAACCGCAAAACTGTGCATGGGGGACAGTTGACAAAGTTGTTCAAGGTAAAGACCGGTGTCAGGGAAGGTTGCTTACTCTCACCCTTTCTCTTTCTCCTGGTGATCGAGTGGATCATGAAGACGTCAACATCTGAAGGGAAGCATGGGATACAATGGACAGCTAGGATGCAGTTGGACGATCTAGACTTCGCAGACGATCTGGCCCTTCTATCCCAAACGCAACAACAAATGCAGGAGAAGAAGACCAGTGTAATAGCAGCCTCAACAGCAGTAGGTCTCAATATACACAAAGGGAAAAGCAGGATTCTCCGATACAACACAAAATGCACCAATCGAACCACAATTGACAAAGAAGCATTGAAGGATGTAAAACCCTTTACATATCTGGGCAGCATCATTGATGAACATGGTGAATCTTGTGCAGATGTGAAGGTTCAAATCGGAAAAGCAAGAGCAGCATATCTACAAATGAAGAACATCTGGCACTCAAAACAACTGACAACCAACACCATAGTCAGAATTTTCAATACAAATGTCAAAACAGTTCTAGTGTATGGGACGGAAACTTGGAGAACTACGAAAGTCATCATCCAGAAGATACAAGTGTTTATTAACAGTTGTCTACACAAAATACTTCGGATCCGTTGGCCAGACACTATTAGTAACAAACAATTGTGGGAAAGAACAAACCAGATCCCAGCGGAGGAAAAAATCAGGAGGAAGCGCTTGAAATGAATAGGACATACATTGAGGAAATCATCCAATTGCGTCACAAGACAAGCCCTCGCTTGGAACCCTCAAGGCCAAAGGAGAAGAGGAATACCAAATCACACATTACACCGAAAAATGGAGGTAGACATGAGAAAAATGTACAACAATTGGATAGAACTAGAAAGAAAGGCTCAGGACAGAGTGGTTTGAAAAATGCTGGTCGGTGGCCTATTCTCCATTGGGAGTAACAGCCGTAAGTAAGTAAGTAACATAATTTATCCCACCTTAAGTATTATTCCTTACACATCATTCCCACGACAAACCAACTTAAGTACGACAAATATCACATCTAGAAGAAAGTGAAATACAGTCTATCTCTCACTCAATTTCTTCTCTTCTTGAAAATTTATTTTTCTCAAATGAATAGAATAGAATATACAATAAGGATAGAAAAAGTGTTAATCACTAAACATACATCTAATTATATCATCATAGTACGCAAATATAGACCATGTATTTAGGTTATGCAATCACTTTCTTTCTTAATGCTATTCAGAAGGTATTTGACTTTACAAATTGTAATTGTAAAGTTTTAAAAGAAATAATTTACTTTATGTAATGTTGTAATTTAGCTGCTATAAAAAAACATTTCGTTAATTCTGTATATATGTCTATGTATATGTATGTGGTTGTAACTTAATTCGATGATGAAGTAAACTTAGATGTCAGTTGATTGAAGAAAGTCACTAGGATACGCTAGAACTTCGGTTTTGTACTAGCTTCCCCTGAATATATGAGTTAACTGATGGGCTCCTTAACATTCGAGTCTGAATCACTTAGTTTCACAATTCGAGATATTACCAATGAATTATTTTGATATTACCTGGCCTACCGTAGGAATAAGATATTTAGTCACTGAGTAATGATTGATATCATATTTTAAGGGTTTTGTTGAATATTATAGTAATTTTAATGGTTGAGATCATGAGTCAATTGAAGCTAGACCGCCATGGAAAACCTGGAAACACTGGACGGCCATTTCGTCCTATTGTGGGACTCCTCAGCAGTGCATATCCACGATCCCGTCTCGAGAGATTCCAAAGACCAAAGAACACATTACACCGGGAAATGAAGATAGACATGAAAAGAATGAACAAAAATTGGATGGAACTAGAAAAGAAGGTTCAGGACAGAGTGGGTTGGAGAATGCTGGTCGGTCGCCTACGTTCTATTGGGGGTAACAGATGTAAGTAAGTAACTAAATAAAGCCAGTCAACGGCTTAACTAAACCAACTAATATACGATAAAAGATTGTTTAAAATTAATATAGAATCATGTAATGATAAAAGCTGACAGACAATTTTCAAGTTTATCTACTTAGACAAAGCATAATCTTGTGTACTTTATTCTTAAATTTGTTTAAATTAACTATTATAATTGGCAACTGTTTCATTATAAGTATTAACTAAATGACTTTCTTAAGACAATCACATGTTATGTTTTGAAGAACTTACTACCACCTATCTGACAATGTTTAAAAACAAATTTTAGACTGATGAATTTTAAGAATGTAAATAAAAAACATAATTATTTGTTTGGTGCCTGTTTATGAAAAGGACTGTATGATGTTAAGTGATTGAAGTCAATCAACAGAAAGCTTCAGATCATCTGTAAGAATTCAGTTAAGACTTGAATGGTTCAGTTGTAGTATCTTTGATTGTGACTTTATATAGTAGGTTTCTGGATTACATAAATATTAGATACGGGAGCATAAGTGAAAAAGGTAGGATTTTGAGGACTAACCTACAGTGGATGATTACATATGCGTTTATGGTGTATTTACCAAATAATTGATTTACAGTATTTTGATATTACTCTACCTGTAAGCTTTTTCTTCTTTAATTCGTGAAATGTTGATATACCCATCACGGTTCATAAATTACTATGTTTCTGTTGCTAAGTACTATACTAAAAATGAGCTAATCATATACAAATTGTGATTTCCCGACAATGATGGGCTGCAATTGTGTAAATAGTCTTCCTAAACTACAATAGTAGTAGTAGTAGTAGTAGTAGTAGTAGTAGTAGTAGTAGTAGTAGTAGTAGTAGTGGTAGTAGTAGTAGTAGTAGTAGTAGTAGTAGTAGTAGTAGTAGTAGTAGTAGTAGTAGTAGTAGTAGTAGTAGTAGTAGTAGTAGTAGTAGTAGTAGTAGTAGTAGTAGTAGTAGTAGTAGTAGTAGTAGTAGAACTTAATAATGGATTTATCATACTCCCCAAATACTGCCTTTCTTGTAAGATTCAAAATGCAAACATGTCCATTGGTTCAAAGGTCAATTTATCTATATCATTATGAGGTTTTGAAGATTGTTGAATTTGATTAAAATCCTAATCCAATCACAGTTAGACAGCCTTCGAAATACGGAAACTTGGATACACTGGATGACTGTTTCGTGTTAGGATGGGTCTTCTAATCAGTACTCATCCACCACCCAAGTCTCGCGTGCGAACAGTTAACCCCTAGACCACTGAGGCGAGACCAAATAGAGTTCATTTGTGTTGGGCATAAAGAGACGCAACGAAGACAATGGAAGATTGTAGTCCAATATCGTGACTTAGACTTGTTCACCAATCGATTTCGGGTCAAAGGTATATATTTTAATTGTTCGCATGCATGACGTCGGTCCTGAGTGTTCACTGATCAGAAGTCCATACTAAGATGAAACAGTCATCCAGTGTTACCAAAATCTCCAGGTTTTCAATAGCTGTCTATCTAGAATCAGTCGTGGTTTTCAATGATAATATATAACAGGGAATCTACTGGAAACCGTATTGTTATAATCACTGAATTAGTTCAATCTCCCTAAATTACATATAATCAGTTGTTCAATTTTTCCCTAGCCAGGATTTCTCCACGCCATTCGACTAATTATTGATCAAGAACAGTTATTACTTCATATTTAGACTTTCTATGGCATAAATTGATCGTTTTCACATATATATACTACTCTTTTTTCATAGAAAATTATTGATCGAATCAGATCAACAATATGACAGGAATTTTTCTCAGTTACTTGAGCGCATGAGAAAAAAATCGAAGATGATGATGTGGATGATGATGAATAACGAAAGATGCCTTCTCGTGGCGGGGGTGTTGTCTACGAAAATGAGAGGACGAAAAGCGAATGTCCGGCGCTTTAACCGGATTCCAAATCAATGGTGCACATGGGCTCCAGTATCCTGCGGGAACGAATGGCGTATGAACCAATCGTTGGTCACCGGCTACCATGGGACTGCATCTCCTTACGATGCTCCACTGCCTTGTGGGTTAGACCTTTAGGTCAAAGGCTCGGGGAGTGGCCCCCTAAGATAACCACCTGCTTCGGTTTGGGCACCCGGGCAGTATCACAGCCCACACACAAATTGATGAACTCTTTATGCCTACGGAAATTACCTTTCTTGCTTTGAAAAACAAACAATTGATTCAGATTATTATCATTACAATTATTGTCATTATTAATACTGTTATTATTATTACTAGTATTATTGTCATTATTGTTATTATTAACATTATTATTTTTATTTTCCACATTATTCACCCTCTTTTATACTTATACAGCGGCTCGTCTTTGGCGGAAATTCGACTGTATCTATACGTTCTCGAGTCACTGTCCGGTTGAAAATTGTATGTTACCACCGAATACGAGGACTGAAGCAGATTTTCTGAAACCACGTGCACCATTCAAACTGGCTGCCTTCAACGTTCGCACATTTATGCAGGTCGGACAACAGATAGGGCTGGCTATGTCTTTGGAAAGTCTTAATATCGACGTGTGTTGTCTATCCGAGACCCGTATTCAAGACTCTGGCGAAGTACTACAAATTCGATCTCCATCTGTCGCTTCGAAAAGCTTGTTTTACGTGCGCTTATCCGGGGACCCTGTGGCATCTTCGTCTGGTCTTGCTGGCGTTGGTGTCGCACTAAGCGCTAGAGCTGAGGCAGCACTAGTCGATTGGATCCCCATTAACAGTCGGTTATGTGCTGTTAGATTAGAAAGTTCCATCAAAGTGAGAAGAAATCGGCGTGAGAAACGATGTCTTTTCGTCATCTCCGCCTATGCCCCGACAGATTGCAGCCCGGATGCAATCAAGGATGAGTTTTACCACCAGTTATCAGTTCTTCTCCAGAAAGTGCGTTCGACAGATATTGTAGTACTAGCCGGAGACTTGAATGCTCAGGTCGGGCGTCTAGGCACAGAAGAGAGTCGTTTAGGTGGCCGATGGGGACTCGTTGGTCGCAGGTCAGATAACGGGGACCGTCTACTGCAACTTTGCACAGACCACAACCTGTTTCTGGCTAGCACTAACTTTCGGCACAGTCATCGCCGATGTGCCACCTGGCGTCCTCCCTCTGCATCTCAAGCCTGGACTCAGATTGATCACATCGCGATCAGCTACCGCTGGCGTGGTTGTGTAAAAGACTGCCGCTCCTTTTGGAGTACCTATCTGGACTCTGACCATGCCTTGGTCTGCGCCAATCTTGCCTTACTTTTCAGTGGACAACGAAGTGAACGCCATCAACGGATTGATGTTAGCAAGCTGGTTGCAACTTCTGTTGCAAGTAAGTATCGAACCGAGCTAGCCTCTAGGCTAGCTACCACTCCACCGAAAAGTATAGATGAGCATTGGTTGCAATTGCATGACGCCATGAAAATGGCGGGAACAGTCAGTTGTGGGTTTGCGAAACGTCCCGCTTTAAGCACTGGGTTTCTTCTGGTTCCTTACAACTCATTGAAGCCCGTCGGTCTACTCCGGGTGACCGTGAGTTTGACCATAAACGAAGGATGTTACGTAAGGAAATTGGGCAAAGCTTGCGTAAGGACCGAGAAGCCTGGTGGTCGATGCGTGCTAATGAGCTGGAAGCAGCAGCTGCATCTGGTAACTACCGGAAGCTCTTCCAGCTCATCCGAGCCACTGGCAGCAAGAAGTCTGGTGTGAGTGAAACAATCTGCGAGGATGATGGGATGCCAATCACTAACATCCATCGACGTCTTGGACGATGGGCAGAATTTTTCGAAGGGCAGTTCAACTGGCCTGCTGCTCCGGCAACATCGGTCAGACTGTCCTGCCCTCCATGGCCGGTGACGACTGATCCACCAAATGAGGAGGAAGTCCGCAAGGAACTCCAACTCTTGAAGCGTTACAAATCACCTGGCCCAGATGACTTACCTCCGGCTCTTTTTAAAGATGGTGGTGACTTTTTGACTAAGGAATTGACGACGTTGTTTACAAAGGTTTGGGAACTAGAGTGTGTACCAACGTCATGGAATGAGTCGATAGTTGTCCCTATCTTTAAAAAGGGTTCACGTCGTTCTTGTAACAACTATCGGGGGATAAGTTTACTTCCGATTGCGTCCAAGCTATTGGCTTCCGTCATTCTTCGTAGGTTGTTCAAAACCCGAGAAAGATTGACTCGCGAGGAGCAGGCTGGGTTTCGTTCTGGTCGAGGATGTATTGATCATATCTTCACCCTCCGCCAAATGTTAGAACACCGCCATACTTTTCAAAGGCCAACAATCGTAGTGTTTCTTGACATCAGGGCTGCCTTCGATTCGTTGGACAGGACTGTTCTCTGGGATTGTCTATTGAAGAAGGGTGTGCCTGAGAAGTTTATTAACATCCTGAAAGCCCTGTATAAAAACACCTCAGGCAGAGTGAGGGCATACAACCACCTCTCTCCATTGTTCCATTCGAGCAGTGGGGTTAGGCAGGGTTGCCCAATCTCACCATTCCTCTTCAACTTTGCCATCGATGACATTCTGGAAACAGCTCTGATGAATGTAAGTAATGGTGGTGTGGATCTGTTGCCTGGAGAAAGACTTCTCGACCTTGAGTATGCGGACGATATTGTCTTACTGTGCGATAATGCCCAAGGCATGCAATCCGCACTTAATCAGTTGGCAATCAGTGTCCGTAGGTATGGTATGTGCTTTGCACCTTCGAAGTGCAAAGTACTTCTACAAGACTGGCAGGATTCTAATCCTGTACTCACCCTGGACGGTGAGCAGATAGACGTAGTTGAGAAGTTCGTGTATCTGGGTAGCTGCATAAGTGCTGGTGGGGGTGTGAGTGATGAGATCAATGCACGAATAGTGAAAGCCAGAGCGGCTTATGCCAATCTGGGTCATCTTTGGCGCCTTCGTGACGTTAGTCTGGCTGTAAAAGATCGGGTCTACAACGCCTCGGTGAGAGCATCTTTGATCTATGTTCGTGAAACCTTGCCTCTCCGAGTTGAGGACGTCAGAATACTCTCTGTGTTCGATCATTGCTCTCTCCGAAGGATTGCTGACATTCAGTGGCAACACCATGTCAGTAATGCAGAGGTTCGGCATCGTGTGTTCGGGCACAGAGATGATAACTCAATTGGTGTCACCATCTTGAAACACCGACTTCGGTGGCTTGGACATGTTCTCCGAATGTCGTCCCAGAGAATTCCACGTCGTGCATTATTTGTTTTTTTTTTTTTTTTTTTGAAGAGGCGGAGAGGTGGTCAGTGCATGACATGGTGTCGTGGCATGAAAGAAAGCTGCAAAGGACTGGCTTGTGTTGGTCCTTCACGACTCCCTGGTTGGGGTCCGAGAGATGGTGCTACACAGTGGCTAGAGACGTTATCAAATATGGCTCAGAATAGAAGCCAGTGGCGATCCTGCTGTAACCTTCTTTTACTTTCTTTCTAAAAAGTGGTTGTGTCTCCTTTACCTGAAAGACTTCTTCTGATTGTACCTTTTCGTTCCGTCGTTACTACCACACTACCTTACTCCAATCTCTTCGTCATTGTTCTCTTTTTCTTTTGCGTTCCTTAGTTTTTTTTTTCTCTTTCTACTTCTCTTCGAATTTTCATTGTTTTGTGTGGCGCATATATATTGGCGCTCTCTTGTACCAATATTTATGTGTTCAAATAAAATAAAATAAAATAAATAAAAATAAATCCTGTATGCGTGTTTCGGAGACACAGCACACGTCAATGGTAAGAGACTCTAGGGTTTTAGCCAAGGAAGCCTGCTGACCGATTTGACATAGGGTTCGTACGTTGAAGGCTCCAATGTGTAGTTTGGAGCGAGGTTTCAGTAGACCTGGGACAGTGTTTTGCGCACTAGAATCGTTGGCTATGGTGACACTTGAGGTGGAAGCTGAGAGAGGAAGTTTAGCGTTGAAAGTCGATATAGGAGGAATAATAGGAATTGAAGTGGGAGGTTGATTACGAATACAGTGGTCTTGAGTGCTGTTAGAAGTATGAGGGTGAAAAAGTATTAGGTCCTGATAGGTAAATTCTAGAGATCCTTTGATAATGTCTCTAGAAATAACTCTGTTTGGAGATAAGCCTCATAACCAGAAACTCTCATCAGATTAGTAAACAAATGACAAGCTTCTGTTTGGTTGTGATGGAATCCAAACTTTTGAATAATAGAATGGGTTTTATTCCCTTTCAGTGAAAAATGGTGTGTTAACGCTAACTATGTGTTGGAAATAGCTCATGCTCATTAACCTACTTATTATGGAACCCTTCTCAAGACCTAAGAGTAAATAAGTCACAGCACTAATATATGTTCGTTCGGCATTTAGGAACATGTAAAATCAAAGAGCGAGTATACGGAGAAGCATTTAGATTGGCGTTACTTCGGTACTGTCAAATAGTCTAAAAAACGTATGAAGACTGTTTATATTAGATTAAGAATGCCTTTAAAGCAAGTTGTGTGCTTTAACCGCTGCGTAAATAAAGTTGTATAACACTGTGTAGAGACAGCAAACAGATTAATGAGACGACGGACTTTGCTGAATAAGATGGTAAATGCACATTCAGATAAGCTTCCTATTTAATTCTCCACCAGTTTTTGGACTACTTTGGTTTGTTCTCTTTTAACTGCTATGCTTCGAAGCATGGCAACTTAACTCAGTGCATATTTCCTTACAATTCACTGAGCATCAGTCAGTAGTTATCAATATTCTGTACTAAATAGCATTGTAAAAAAGCGAAGGGAAAGGCAGATTTTTCGTGCGTTTTACGAGATTACTTAAACTAGAAGTTACACAAGCTCCTAAAATAGCAGTTTTAGTTGTTTTAGTGGGCAACTGTGTAAATGAAGCAAGTAGATTGCACCAAAACAAAAGACAAGTAATTTTCAAAATAGCTCTAATACGTAACCCATATTATAGCAAAATTTGGAAACAAAGAATGAGATGGATCCTATATAAATAGGAATATGGGCGTGTTTTAACTTTGAGGCAAACTTACATAGTAACATTCTAAACAGAAAACACGGTTAGTAGTTGGACTGGACATCTAGGGATGGTACTTAACTGATGATTAAGTGGACAGAAAACGAATGCAGCCACGATACTACGACCGGTCCTAGGCTCATGTCAGTTAACATCTACGGTCATTCCATACAATTATTACGTACCAACCAAATAGCCTACCTTTAAACATGACTCAGACCAATCAGTGGATCAAGATATATGACAATTGCATCGATAACATGATATACTTGAAGGACCTCTTAAATTATAATCTCACGTTGTATTGACCGACAAGAGAATTTCAACTTTACGAGCACAAAAGAAAAACTTGACACCAATCCTATGCCTAGTAAATTACATTTTACAGACATCTAGATACATAATTATCAGGTATGGAGCGAACCTAAAACCCTGATCAAGTTGCATAACATCATTTACGAACTGAGTACTCACACTAGTGTTTATGTTTCAAGCCGAACTGTAACCACAGTAATAACATTTCTGAACCCATGTCAAGAATAACCTGTCCTGGACTCGTTTAGGCACTTATGATTTGAAGAAAGTTAAGCAGAGAACTAAACGGCTACTTTTGCCTAGATGCTTAATAAGTCAGACAAACCAGGTTTACATTCTTGGGAGTCAAACAGAAACATATTAATAAAGATGTAGGAATTACCTGAGCATTATAAGCAGCCAACTGTGCGTCTAATTCTTCTTTAGTAACTGTAGGTTTCTGAATCCTTCCGCGACCACGTGCACGACCCCGACCACGTCCGAAACCCCGACGAATCGGTGAACCACGAGGGCGAGTAACGCGGGGACGTGATGTTACAGAAGTTTCAACAGCTTGAAGAATAAAATACGCGTCAATTAGTGAGTCTTTAATAACATCAAAACTGTTGCCATTTTATTATTGAAATGAAATTTAACTTCAGTCCATTATATGCGTGGTTCAGGTTCGTTAGTACCAATATAGCACTTTAAGCTCAATTATTTGTTATACTTCTGGCAGATATTTTTGCAGAACACATGATATGGCAGGCATCACGTGTGCCCATGTGACAACACTCAATTAAACCCACAAAATAAAGAAAAACTAAGGAAACCTCCCTGCCCATGATTATGGTAATACCAGAACCTCGAGACAACGGCGAATTCCACTACGCTCCTCGCCAATGTCCAACCATTTGAAAAATGATGCAGGTGAAAATCCCCGAGAGAAAAAGGGTTTGCTCCATAGTTGGTAACACCATGAATTACAAGTTTTAGACATTCCAGCAATAGAAAACAACAAAAACATATACTGGCAGCACGTCAGTTTGGAAGCACTATCTTCCCAAACAAGGTGGAACATCACTGAATGGTAACGAAGTCAACAGTTGCTACGGAAGTGATTTCCTGGTCGACGTGGCTGACTGTGTGTTGACTAACCTGCACCGACCAACTGAATGACCATTGGGCGCCCATCGAGCGGTACACCATTGTAGTGATTTTTGGCTTTTGTTGCACTAAGTGGATTCACGAAAACGACTTCTGCGGTGCCAAGAGAACGACCACTTCTATCATAATGGACAGTAGCCTTTCGAATTGCACCAAACTCACGAAAAAGTTCCTACAAGATTATTAATAGCTCAAATACCTACATTTATATCATCATTGTTTACACCAAAGTCCAAGTTTGAAATGTGCAGCCTCGCTGCATTTCCAACTGTATTACCAGATCCTTTGGGGCTACGACCATCTTGGAACATATCGTGCTGCCATTTGTCAGGTAAGGCTCGTGACTAAAAAATGAATAATTATTTTACATGGATACCATTCCATTTGTGTTTCGCCGCGCGATTCCACCACGACGGACACCTCGCAAAGATTCGCCACCGCGACCGCGTCCACGACCTCTACCTCTAGTTACTCTAATGCGCTTCTGTTGGATAATATCATCGAGACTCTGGTCCATTATCAAGTTTAAACCTCGCGATTTCGCACAGTCCCGCCACACAGGACTTTGGCTTCAATGTCCAAGCGTTCAAATCTCAAACATTGCAACGTAAAATTAACGAACTACTTGTGCTTTGGGATGTTTGTCTCACAGTAAGAGATTAATTTTGTTTACGGAGCAGTAAGATACTCTCAGATTTTCCTTCTAGAAGACGAATATTCAGATCACTGTAATTAATGCAATTGAAGGAAAAGTAACACCTGAAGTAATCCCTTTCAGAATCCACAGAACTGGAGTAAACATCGCGCTTTCCCCTTAGATGATCGTCAGGAAGTGCTGTCGCTTTTGCCCCGTTAAACGGTTCTTTAAATTAGTGACCTGAAATTTTAATGTAAACTCCTTCGTTTCTGTTTTTTGCATGTCGACTAAAGTGGTGTTCATCAGTAAACAGTATTTTAATTCCAGTCACCCAGGATCTCATTTGTAACAGCTTGCATATAAATTTAATACAAAATGTGATTTACAGTAATGCAGTGGACTGAGGCTCCAACGACATGACATAACGGCCGGAAGATATAAAAACCATATCTACTGAAGTAAGTTAGAAGTTCACAGGGTTGGTTTGCCCAATATCTCGATTTTGGGTAAAACTTGACATTTGGGGGAAATTTTGGGAAAGCCGCCACACTGAACTTCGGAGAAATTTTGCGGAAATGGCACAAAAATCCCGAAATTCCCTAATTTTTCCGCAGAATATTATTACACTTGGTGAAATCGACTTATATTTATTAATAAAACCCCAAATTTTCCCTCGACTTTAGGGTCTCTGTCCCCAAAGATTTCCGCTGAATTTCGCTTTTTTCCCAACGCTTTGACCCTAAATTTTTCCTGATTTTGCGCTTTCCCCTAAATTTCACCATAATCTTATTGCTGTTTTGGAAAACTCGCTTTAGCGCAATACTTCTCAACAAATTTCTACAATATCACAGAAAAGCCAGGCGAGAATACATACGTACACTTTTTACTGCGATATTTCATTATTTTTAGTCAATCACGCAGTGAACACAGAGCCAAAGAAGCTTAACTTTAATCGATCTATCGTTGTAATTAAAAGACTGATTCGTGACACACTGGAATGTTTATTACGATTTATAAAATTATAAATCATTGATTTATACATGTTTTCTTCATTGCTTTGTAACATAAGCACGTTACATAGACGTTGAACTACCATTCAATGTTCTACAAAAATGAAAAAAATATTCTTTAGTTTAGAAGCAAATGTCATGATATGTAAAACGTCGACGCCATATCAACGACATAACATTGTTGGTAATAATGAGAACAAAAAACACACAGTTACGTCTGTTAAAACTTGCGAAGCCAGCTGAAAGCAAGATGGACAAGAAATAATCTTTTTACTGACAAGAAAAAAGTTGTTTCAGTATAAATATTGATCACAAAGTAATATTAATACTGCAATATTTATAAATCAAACATGTAAAGTGCTATCAGCCCACCCTTGGCTTGGATCTCCACCCACGCTTATTTACTTTATTTCTTGTGTCATCCAAGAAAGCCTGGCTCGCAGCATCCATGGAGTGTACTACTTCTTTTTCGGGACAGGTTGCACTTCGGAATGGGAAACAAAGAACACCTACGAATATATTAATACTTTGTAGACTTACTTTGAGCCGTCCGGTAAAATTTGTACTTACTAATACCAAATTTACTTTTCGTTCCGTAAAATGTGTACGTGTTCACCAGTTCCGGTAACAACAGGTAACTTAGACAGGCTTTTGTTGATTTACGACGGTCATCACATATGAGCTCGTACAATCTGGCCACCTGAAATTTGTTCAAACACCTATTAGAACTTATGAACTGATCACGGAACTTTAACTCATCTAAAGCAACTTCACAAGAACGCAACTTCTCATGTGTTCTTAATGGAAAGCAATAGTTGAATTGTCTACTTGATCGGTACGCCTGACCATTACACCCATGGATGAGCGTTCATTGAAAGCAATCGGTTTATCTGTCTTGCTAGACAGTTCAGCGGCTGCTTTCATGATCATTTTGAGCGTTTTACTGTCATCATTGCACAACCTTTTCTTATCATGTTTACATTAACTCCGACTTACAGTTTATTAAATTCCATTGATGTACATGGAAGCAGTGGTGAGAAAACCTCTGTTTTCGATTAACTACTTTATGAGCGTTGATCACATAGGTACATACTTCGCTATAGGTGAACGTTTCCCTGTCAAAATGTTGACAACTAGAAAGTCGACCGGGGCGAGTCCAGCTTCAACCTTAGCAATCTCTAGTTCTTCAGAGGTGAATAAATAGTCATTAAAATTTGTTTAGCAGCCCTAACAAAAAAGTGATTTAGTAAGTTGAACAATTTGCCTTTTCGGCTTTGCCGCCTCATACGGTAGCGTTTCAACATCTGTTGTAATTTTCTTACTGTAACCGAGTACTGCGGTTAAACAGATTTTCATTTCCTCGGCTAAAAACAATGAATTTGAAGTGATTATAACTTACCACAGCGATCCAGTACCGTGCATTTTCTCAAAGTGAAGCGACTATCACAGTCGACAATATTAATAATATCCTTAGCAGTCACATCATCATGATAAATAAAATGGTCGTTGTCCAGCAGCCATTTTTCAAGAATGCAAAAGACTTGCTTTTTCCCCGTATCATTAGCCAGTAGGTATTGTCCTGACTGATGCTGTAAATCAATGCCGAGGCGCTAAAAATTGAAAATTTATTACATTTATGAATATTCACCAAAACTTCCTGATGGGTGAAGCCGAAGCATCAACCAACAGACACTTGATGCATAAAGTACTATATTTGCGACAGCCATCGAGAAATGACGTCATATTTCCTATTGGTATGTATTCAAAAGAGGAATAATGACATCATAATATTGTTTCGGTATACAAATACACTTGCAAAGTATATCTGTCAGTGTAATCCACGTACGCTCGTGACTTAAAATAGAACACTTGAATATAACGATAGTATTGGAGGGAAAAGGGTCCGTATATTAATCTCAAGAGTTATGGAATGCCCGAAACCTAATTCGGCCTCCATCAGCCATTTGTGTGACGAACTCTGGTGGACCATTGGCGAATACTACATTGTCCGGCCTTGTAGTAGATAGCTTTGAGTTTCTGCAAGTAGTGATTTTCTTAGATGAATCATAACTTACCTCAGGCTCAGTCAGATTGTCAGCTACATCCTGATCCAGTAAACTTTGAAAATAAACTCCTTCGGCATATCGCTGTGCAGCTTGTTTAGCCGCAGCAAACCAGCGGTGTACTGAACTCCTAAATTTCCTCATGCATGATTCAAAAGGAAAGGCAGAGAACGACTCTGAACTTCTATGTCCACTAGCGTCCTCTGCAATGTGCTTTAAATTATGCACATTGCAGATTAAGTGATCCCTACCGTAACAGTTTTCATAGTCTGGTAAGTCGTTCACATAAACCCGAACGCTGTTCGCGAATATGGCGTGCAACTTAGGGTGCGATAATAAATATATTGACAAGGACAGGCAATGGAATTTTCTGTACATTGATAGTGGCAACCTATCATGAACAACTACAGGACCTAAGTACAATAAGAACAAGCGACATTCAGTTGCTTTCCATACAGAGACTTAATATAATGAACGGCATTTCCTTTGAAAGTCGCATGCAGAATGATTTTTACATAATTATAATGCTAAACTAATGGACGAGAAAATAGATTGGTCCATTCCATTAAGTCGATTAATGGCTAGATCCTTCCATAAGGAAATTAGTTTTTAATAACACCGATGGAAAGCATTTTATCATACCTAGCGGTAGACTTTCGAATACACTACTACCACGATGATGGATAGATTATGACATCACTTCTCAATCCGTGTTCGTCATTGGGGAAAGTCATTTGACTACCCATTCGTGTCCAAAAAACCTGACATTTGTCACAGCCAGCAGTATCGTTGTGTCCAACAACATACGTGACGAACTGCGAGCTGGAATAAACAAGTAATAACAACTAATTTAACTGTTTAATGTATCTTACACTTATCTACACAAATGCCTACTGTCAGCCACTCTCGTAACTCAGTTATAAGTGCTGCCGACATGTCGTTGAAATCATATGGCTTTACTTCACCTCCATAGATCCCAACTATGAACACATTATTAACTAATGAAGTTGTTTTGCGACCTAAAATCGGCCACAGCTGTGGGTTAGAGCTTTTGAAAAAGCTTGGACCATCGAAGTTCAATTGCAGCTTCAATCTGTGAAACGGATTTTACATAGCCAATTTGCTGAAATCCTCATGAAGATGGCACAGGTATACAGTGTTTGACGACGCTTTTACCATTAACACCTTCTAATATAATTTGTACCCACCAAGAGAAATCAAAAGACAAAATCGAGATCGGAAGAGTGTATTTGGCGATAACCAATATATCAGAATTCTCTGATCTAATCTGGCTAGCCGATTGCGGTAGATGTTGAGCACGGCGTTCCCACACGTGATCTGGTGCGGATGCATGACCAAGCGCCTTCAGCTAGATGAGTCCACTAAAACATGTGGCTAGCATCCAATGTCGAAAACGTACAGAGCTATTTATTTTAGGGATTTATTTACCGCTACAGATCACTCCCCCTTAGTGGGGTAGTGATGACCCTAAGACGTGGCCAGTCAGAAGTTTAAAGTCAACGAGTTTGTCGTTGGTGAACACTCTTCTGATAGCTTACTAGGTTTAGCAGCATCTAGTCGTCTTTCCTTACTATATGGGACCGAGGTACAACATAGTAAAAGAAAAAAAAGTACAATGAAAATTTCAGCTCCTCGTAAAGTGCATCGTTCTTTTCCAGCCGCCCTGGAAAAGAAAAAAGAAAATGTAAGTGCATGTCGAAATACACTCGTATGTGCGTAAAAACACAATGTCGGCGGAAAAAATATGGAAAATAAACTCAAGCACACGTAATAGCGTTAAAAAGTTTTTTTTTTTAAATAAAAATGTAAATATACAAGCACATT